CAACCCAATCTATTCTATGAATCTATGATTCTATTGTGGGGGCAAACTCTGCACAGTCATGAATGTCCTTCACTAAATTTCAAAGTAATATATTCTGTGGTGCAATTGAAAATAATTTGATACAAAAAGTGCTGGTGATTGTTCTAGAAGTGTTCTACCAATGCTGTGTTCCTCAGCCTACTACTCTCATTTCATTCATCAGGCATTTTGCTCAGTATCTTCTCTCCCCCACCCCACCATTAATGTCCATATACCAAGCTCTCGTTGGGCATGTCTATCAAAAGAGGCTAAAACTGCACACCCCAAAGGCAAGGGTGCTAAACTGCCAGTTACACAGAGGAGTAAGGGTATTTCACAGGTTTTCTTTAGCATGTCAGGCATAATTTCAGATTCCATGACAAGCTGACCTTCTTCAGAGACTCCTACTATTTGACATCAGAGGGTATTTTACTGTATGTGGAAGGCGGGTGCCATTTTCATGCTAGACACAGCCTCCTGCTCCACCGCTTCAGCAGTCTGTAACTGCATTGTGTAGTATGGCTGGAGACCACTGACTTACCAAGATGCTCTCTTCTGCTGCCAGGTCTATACTTCGCAGTTTGTCCCTCTTAGGATCCAGATTCCTTTTAAGAGTAGAGGATAACTTGGTACTTCCCATCGGTCACAAAGTCAGGTCTTCCTATTTTCACCTGGAGGCCTTTCCCACCTTAGCAAGTCCTACCTTGAGACATTTTGAGAGCACTCAGTGCAAACAGACGTGCTTTGCATATCTTACCTGCTGTCAATGCCTATTTTTTCATCACAGAGGGAAATCCTTTTCTCCCTCTGATCCCAAACCTTTTGGGAATTATACTTGCATGCTGTCTTACCATTCTGGAGTCTATCATAGCAGATATCTGTGATCCAGTTTGCCTTTGGTTCAATTCCTCAATGCTTGCTAGACATTCCTCAAAGTTCAGTTAAAAATCTACATGTCATTGCTGCATGAGACTATAAAGCCAGCGCCAGCACATTAAAAGCGCAGTGTTTTACTAAGGAGACTTCTTGTACCAAAATAGAACAGCAAATGGTTTCCCAGCCTGGACCTGTGTAAAATTAATAGTAATTGTCAAAAACATGCTGCTGGTGGTCCAGGATGGACATGACTTGTGGTTCTTGACACTTAGGACACCTATGAAAAGCAGCCTAGGTGAAAAGCCATGATTATTGAAAGCATTTTAAGTTCACCTAAGACAGGAAGGTAATTTTGTCCCTGCCCTTAAATTTGTTTGTTTGGTTTTTCCTCCTAGGCTTTGCTAACTAATGACTATGCAGCAGTCTGGGAAGTACCTTGGGAGACACAGTCCATTGCCTTGCAATTTTTACATTATGTTTTCAGCTTCCTGGGGCATTTTTACAGAATGCTGAGCAGTCCATCTTGTTTGAAGAGACTGACAGTTAATGCAACTAGAGTATAAAAAGTCTTTATCAAGTTATTAAAGCTGCTTCTTGTTTACGTGAATTCCATCTGGAGAAAATGCCTTAGATAAACCAAGTGCTGTCCCATTCTTCAGGTTTGCCTGCCCTCTGCTGCCCTCTCAGGCAACTTCATGGGATGCAGAAGAATTTAAAACTGTTACAGCTGTTCCATTATGCATTTCATGGAGACTTTCATAACATGCAAAAATATAAATGTAAAATATATCTGGAAATTAGAACGTACCTTGACATAGTGTTGCTTCTGGAGCTACAGATTCAGATTAAATTCTTAGTGTGGTAAAAGTTACAATATGTAATTTTGACAGATACAAAAGTTGCACATATGCAGATGACTAATCTTAATTAGGGATTAAATTACACTCCATAAATGTGTACTTCGGAGTGTTGCATGTTTGCTGGGCAAGGAGTTTGTGTTCTGCTTTCTTTCAGGAAGGCTTTTCATTAATTGATTCCCACAAGTGGCTAAAGATAGTAAGAAGAGCAGACTGCCTGCTGCTTCGTGCACAGTCAAAGGTAAGTTGAGTTGCTTTTAATATTTCTAGTAGCTAACAGTTCTGTATAAGATTACTTAATATTGGATAAATTAAACCAGAAGTTCTGAGATACCACAAATTGTCAATATAAATTAAAATATTTTTTTTACTCTAGATCTTAAACAAGAATGGATTGAATCATCTTAATGTCTTTTGTAACTGTAATATTCAGGTCTTTTAGACTGCTTTCTGAGAGTTAGCTACTAAAACAGCTAGACCCATATTTATTTTAGAATCCGCCACAGCTAACAATTAAAAAGATGAAGCGATTGTCTTACACATACAGACGCAAGCTACTTATGAATCATACTTCATTTTGGCAAACAAAGTATCAACACAAACACTTATTTAGCCATTTTGTGGCCCCTGACACCTGGCACAGTAGTGGCAGGCTGGTGCTTCAGGTATTTGGTATTCAAGGCAATGGAAGGGACCTAGGTTTCTGATTATTCCCTCAGATCTCACAAAAAGCATTTGGTTAGCCTTGAAGTAATTGAACAGCACTTGCTTGTGACCAACTTATGTATAAATGTCACTTTTCTTGGTTATTAGATGAACTCCAAGAAGTTTCTTTTTAATCTACACTGAGAACTCATCAGATTTTTCAGAAACAAAGCCTGTTTGAAAATGAAACCACCTCTCCCTTCTCCCTTGATGCTTTGTTGTTTCAGCAGAAACAGCTGCCTGTCATTTAACTCCCTCTACTTGACAAGAGAATTCATCTTCAAGAAACATAAATTCTGGAAAGAGAGGATGAGCCCTTTGTTCAGTTTTAACTCTTTGCTCCATTCACAGAATTATTATGGCATAACAATCTCAAGCATTTGGAGTTGTTCAGGCATTCTCCCCTGGTAGGAGATCTTGTGGGAGATACAGACTGGGTTATTGTAGTTGCAGATAATAGCAGTATCCAGAATAGCTGAAAACTGTAAAAACTCCTGTTGAATTGCATTTCAATCTTTTATCTGATTGCTTTTATGAAAGACAAACATTTCTTTATAGGATGTTACAAACCAAACAATATAGTTTGCAGAGGGGAGAATGCCTTGCTAATTGCAAGATAAAAGCAGATGTGAGGCATAATAAACATTGTTTAAATTATAAGGACTCATCTTGTTTCAGAATAAGCCTAGTCTAATGGTGGCACTAGAAACTGCATGATTAAGTATCTTAAACTGTTTTAAATTCATGGGTTATGCTCGCCTGAAACCAAAACACCTCTGCTCTCTGATTTTTGTCAGATTCTTACACAATGTGAAGCATCACTGAAGAAGACTATCGAGCTGTTGCAGTAATTAGTTCTGATGAATCAGTAGATCATCAGTACCCTTTACAGTTGGTAGAACCAGTTCCCCAGCAGAGCATTAAGGGATTCTGCTGCATCTCACAAAAACCAAAATCAACATCACAATCGCTTTGAGGCTTGAATAAAATTCTAAGGGACAGGTCAGAAAAGGAGGAATATTTAACATAGTCATAAATTAATTCAGTGTATCTAAAGGTTTACGTACCATAAATTCACATTACTTAAACTGGATGTAGTGGCACTGTAGTGGTCCTACCATACAGTTCCTCTACTTTATATCCTAAATCATAGCTGAAGTGATCCCTTAAGTGCTGTCACTGTACATAACTAAACATCAAAAATACTTTAAAATAATGCAGGAAGCCAGCCACACTGTGTAAGGGGTCATGTCTCAACCCTGCTAGACCTAAGTAAAGAAAGAGTTAAGGAGAAACCATTTAAGCAGAGGATATATTTTTCACAACCCAGTTCCTCTGAGTGCACAAGGCAACTAAGGGGTATGTGTAACTAATTATCATTTATCATTTCCAATATACTTTGTGCTCCTTGTTCTCAGTCTTGAATTTCCTTACTTTACTGTTTTCAGTTATTTTCTTTCTTTCCTGTGCTTGTTTTTTTGCTGAATGTTACCTGCTTTGCAATTGTGGAATATTTCATGGCAAAGAAACATGGAGGTTTATCACTGAGATCAGGTATTTCAGAAGAAACTGAGTGAACATTAACTTATTGGGTTTTGTTAATTCATTGATATTGCATTTATAGCAAAACATAACTCATTTCTTAAGAAATATTTTAATAGGGCATTGTGGACATTCTTAATATTCTTGTAGAAAGTCGTTTCCCTTCCTACTCTTTTCATTGAGTTTACCTCTCACCCCAGCATGGGAAGAGGTGCAAATTCAATGATCCAAGTGACCTCAAGGTTCTTTAATACTTCAGCTCTTGTATGGTTCAGGTGTCACTGCCTAGTACTTAGTTTAAACTAAAACCTGACATGCATCTTAGCTGAATTAGAACACTCTCTCCCTTTCTATAAAGGAAAAATATTTAATTTACAGTCTATTGTTGTTTATAAACTACTTATAAACTCAAGTGTGTAACATGCCTTGTGAAAAAGCGGAGAGCAATACAAATAGCTCAGACTGAAAAGTGATGTAGAGATTGTAGGGGTAACTAAAACAAGTGTTCTTTGAAAATCTCCAAAAGGATTTAAATTAAGATGCAAGTTACCTTTCTGTCATTTTAACGAGAACTTACCTGTCTGGCATATGCACAAATCTGTTCTCGGTTACATGAAGCTGCCCCAGTTAAGTTGACGTCTTAGTTAATTAGAGGAAATGTAACTGGGCACTGGTAAAATGAGTGCTACAGTTTAAATTATTCTGATATTTTTCCCTTTAAAAGGCACTGAGACAAGTTTATTTATGCTTACAATGTCTTTAAAAATCATTTTATGCAATACAAGCATCTTAAAATAACATGCATGTAAACATACAGGCTGCCGTGAAGAGCTGGCTCATCTTTGAGACAAAAATCTTTGAAGTGAAAGATGTCCTTGTATTTGTGTAATCAGCAGTCTAGCAGTGTGTCTAGTCATTAAAAAAACGGGTTTGATGTTGAAGTCTCAGAAAGATGAAGACTCAAGTAAGCTCAAGTCGGCCCAAGGAAAACTTGCTTCTTTTCTAGTACTTTAACTGTGTTTTAAATTTGAAATTTCAAGATCAAACTGAAAGTGCCGTTAATTCACTCCCTAAATGAAAACACTCAATATGTGTCAGCCTTACATCAGTAAGCTTAGGACGAGCTTATCATGCACAACAGACTCCTCACCCCTCCTTTTTCAGGGCAGTTTGCTGGACCTCATGTACTTAAAAAAAGTATCTATTATTGTACAGCCTGACAACCTATACTGAGGGGTCAGTTCTATCCACATTTTTTATTTTTATTACTATTTCACTATTTAAAGTAATGCATTTGACTTTCTTGCACTCCTTTTCAGTGTCAAAGTGAATTGGTATGTTTAGCTACGCACAGGCACACCAGGTAGGTAGGTAAGGCTGGATTTGATGCAGACAGTAACATAAATCCTAAATGCAATCTAGAGTTCCCATGAATTTTAGTTTACATTCCAAAGCTGCCTTCTGCTTACTTCAGTGTAATTTTTTGTCACAAATAACTGTTCAGAGCTGGCATATCCTTATAGGATACTAGTTGCAGCAACAAGAAAAACTTAATTTCCCTGCTAGAAGTGTAAAAACTCTGTTGTCATGGCAAGGTTTGTTCACTTGGCTAGACTTCCAATTAGTAGACAAGTGGCCCTGCTCACTTACCATTTTCTTGGGTTTTTTTAACTGATTTTCAAACTGGGAATCGTGCTCTTCTAGTTTAGCTGCTGGGAAAAATGAAGGTAAAACAGGGAAAACTTGTTTCTTTGCTTTTAAGTTGGTGTAGTGATCCAAAAATGTATGGCCTGCTTCCTAACTTTAACAAACAGGAATTTAATTAAATCAAATTAGTTTGAGGGGGATCACAGTTAATTTCATTTCTCTTTGGTTTTTGAGCAGAATGAATGCCGCATGTTTCGTGTTCAGTTTGGTGGAGATTCAAAAGAACAGATGCTGGAACACTGCTGCAGTTGTGTTCAGAAACTGGTGGAGTACATACCGGTTCAAGTAACTGATGAACAAAGCCAGCAGCTCTATCACAGTCTCAGTCAGATGGCTAATGGTGAAAATCAAGTGAAGGACACTCAAAATGCAGCAGTGCTACATGGAGTAAGTAAGCAAGAGCATATAGACAGAAAATAGAAAAATTATTAATCAACTGTTAGTGTTAGAGCTGTACATGACAAATTTTTTACTTCTGCAGAAAGTTTCTTGCAACTCTGAGACCATCTATATGAAATACAGTTTGGGAAACCCAGTTAGTGAACAGGGCTAGAGTTACGCAGGAAGTCAGCTGCTGATGCTGGCTATCATCTTCCCAGTTTCTTAGCAGACCTCAAAGAAAAGTGAACAGAAAAGTGCTCAAAAAAGCAGTTCTAGCTCCTCAAGCTTATTGTAACATATCTCAGAGCAATCAGATGCTTTCATTTTGGCCTGCAAGAGGTCACTAATATCCAAAATTAATATACATACTTCATATGATCATAGGAAGAATATTACTAAGTGTATGGAATGAGATTTATAGGTGAAAAAAGCTTTGCTCTGGGATTTTAATTTTTCCTTAGCTAAGGAGCCTGGAAATGAAGAGAACAATTTTTGCAGGGCTCAGGCAAATGCAGGCAGTTACTAACCCTTAAAAGAAATGGCTGCAAATGCTACAGCCAAGGTTATTTACCATTATTTACTTAATCAGATGGTGGTATGGTGTGGTGGAAAACTTAGATGCTTTCTGCTGAGGTTAATAAACAAGCACAGTGGGCAGAGGATGAGAGCTGAATAGTTCCCAAAAACCCACGTCTACAATTTCATTGGTGTGATTTTCAGCAAAGACTGCTGGGACCCACCTGGCAGGCTTTCAAATAAATTATACTGGGTAAGAAAAGTGATCAGAGCCATTTAAGTAACCATGAATTGTGTTCTTTTTGTGTCTGCCTACTCCTGTTTTGATGCGTTAATAATTGTAAATAAAGCAATTGTATCAATTTGAGCTTAACCTGACACATTTTAAAGCAATTTCAGGATAGGAACAGTATATTTCACCTCTCCAAGGCAAAGACCTAAGGGAAATGGAAAAGGCAAAGGCACTTTCAGTGTTTCTGAGGGTGACTAATTCTTAAATCTGTGCTCTTTGGGGTATCCAGAGGATCCCATTTACCAGCTCTAAAAGAACATCCTTGCAGCTGATTTAGCCAGGATAGCTCTTGGGTATGTGAGAAAAATATTGGGACCAACACCGAGCCCTGAAAAAGGAATGTCAAAGCTTCCAGCTACATCATTTTCATGATATAATCTAAGCAGGTCCTACTCTATGGGACAGTGAAATCATATTTGGGAGAGAAAGTGCAGGGGAAAAAACATTTTGACTAATTTGACTCACAGTATTTCCAGGAAGACAAATGGGAAATCTTCAACAGCTGATACTCAAGATTTATTGTTTGTTCTTTAAGCAGATTCCTTATGTTTTGGGCTTTGCTCATTTCCTGGTAAGCTAAAGCAAAGAATAAAAGGTAAAGTATTTAATGCCAGAATACTATTGAACACCAGCAGTTGTACTGTTGGTATTAATAATGCTCTTACTCCAGAAGTTAAGATTAAAAACCTTGCTCAGAAAGTAGAATTGACAATTTAAACCATCTTTTCTAGGATGTGACCCATAGGAAGGAGAAAAGCCTGCTCCTGGTGAGCATTCATACACATCATTTTTTAGTTACTTCCAGTAGGTAGTTTAAAAGTTATCTTAGACATGACAGTTTAACTACAGGGCCATTATTTCATATCTTTCATTTTTAAAGGCTTGAGCAGATGTGCATTCAGGTTCCATAAAAAGATGCCTTTTTACTGCGTAAGGTAGCTGAGCACATTCTCTTCCCGTTATCTCTAAAAATGGAACTCCTTCCCTTCTTGCACATACCCACACTCTGCTTGGTAACAAGCCCTTATTTGCATTTTATATTTTCTAGGCAGATGAGCCTCTACCAGATTCCTGCATAAGCTTTGGAGAAAGAAGATCTGTAACACAGCTAGCACAGGTAAAAAAAAAAAAGAAAATATTAGAAAATCTAATATTTAGATCCTGTAAGTGGATTTCTTGGGCACAGACAGCAAGCAAGCTATCTCCTAGGCTTGTGGTAAGTCTCTTCACTGAACATCAGGATGCCATCATCTCTGCCAACAAACCACACAGAACCTTGCCTAATGATCTGTAGCTAGAAATTTAAGCTGCAAAACCAGGTATTTCCCGGTGTAATTACGCCATTTACGTAGGAACAAACCACCACAATGAGAGCAAACAAATACCCAGAGGTCACATCCAAAATTAATGGCTTTGTCGCTCTTTTGACTCTGCAGAAATGACTTCTGCAGTCATAGCTTAGGTCTGGAAATAGCAATCACCCTTGACCCACAGTAGAACACCCTGTAATTCAACTGACAGCTTCACTGAGAAATCCAGGCTAAAGTAAAATAAAGTGCTTAAAGTGCTTAAAAATAACTGCAAGTTAACTGTTGCTTCTTTACTGTGAATTTGGGACTGTACAGAACCAGACTATTGAGGAGAAAACGCTTTCCAACATCCTTTTTTGTGCAGTTGTTTCTATGAGTTCCCAGTGGGTTTGTCTGGCCCTTTTTCCCATATTGATACTATAAGGGACAATTCTTATGATCCCCGTTACAAACCTGTCCTCTCTCAAACCAGAAGTGCCTTTTAAACACTTCTATTTTCAGAAAGCAGAGTTCCCTGTACTCACCCCTCAGTGGGGAGAGCTGCATTACACGACCTGCTGTTTCATTCCCAACAGTTTTGTTATCATCCTCGTACAATGCAGCAAGAGCACATCAACAAGCACGAGTCTCAAACAAGAGCTTGCCTTTAGCAACTATTTTTTGTGACCAATCTCTGCTTTAAGAGGTAATACTAAAAAATATAAATTAACACCAACATTATAAAATAACTTAGCTTCTAAAAATTGCTATTCTTTGGTCCCTCTAAAAGATGGGAGCAGGATACCTGCTTCAAAGAAAGCTTTCTGCCAGTGAGGCCTGTATTTGCTGTACACTGTCATCCATCTCTTGCTTGAATTACTAATAAATTCCCCAGAAAAAGAAACCCAACACAAACCCAAACAACAACCACCTCCTTGACATAGTAGTTTCCTACCTCCTCCTCTATTCACTCCTCTACTTCTTAGTCAGCTTAACACAACGTGCTCTGAGCTGGCATCTCCCATGCCTTGGCCCGCAGGCTTGCATACACAAAGTTTGTTCAGGGCTGAACTTTTTTTCCCCATTTTAACCTCAGAAACACCCTTTCAGCTGGTGCTCTGGAACACTCCAGAGTTCAATTTCTCTATTTCCACCCCTTCAGGAAGCTAGCAGAAGTGCTGGTTTAAAGCATTTTCTTGCAGATTCTTTTCTTAAAATATACTCAACAGTTTTCAACTTGTGTTTAAAAATATTTTTCTTCAGAAAGACTATGGCATGACCCAGGAAAAGGGCAATACTGCCACGTGAACCAACAGTAAAATTAGCAAAAATATTAAGGGTCAGGTTGTTTTACCCTCTACACGCCAAACGCAGCGATGCTGTGGCTGTCAGGATGCCTGCTCCACCTGCCAGGTGTCTTGCACCATTTCAGGTTCAAGCAGCAGAAGCAATCAACAGCAATTCTGCCTTTTCCAGACACAAAAGCTTGGTTTAGCCTGTGCCTCTCATATCAGCACATTAAAAAAAAAAAAAAAAAAAAAAAAAAAGGCTAAATTATGCATTTGAGGGTTTTTTTTTAAAGCCAGGTACAGACTAACCAGCATTAGGTATTCCCCCTCCAATAACATTCACCTCAATCACCAGCTGCCTCCACACATCACACCTACCTCATCTTTTTCAGGGATTTTCATGGCTCAGGAGTTGCCCAATAACCTGCCGGTTGTTTGGAGTTGTTCATTTCTCCAGTGCATCTACTGGAGGAGAGCAGCATTGCCTGCGGATGCTGGGAGGTGGCCAAGGCTGTTTCAACCTCCACACGTCCTGTTGGACATCTTCCACTCTGCTGCCATGAGTTTTACACTCAAAAGTGACATGATCCATACAGTTTTGCCCACCACCAAGGGAAAAAGCTGAGGGAAGGGGTTAAACGGGCATGAAAAGGATGTTTTAGCAAGTTACAAGGCTCTTTAAGAGTTAAGAGCAAAGAACTGCATCATGCTAAATTAAGATCTTAGAATTGCTTACTTGGTTATCCTTACGCTTCACACGCGATCCTTTTAACACAGAATGGATATTCAGGAGGAAGGAAATTGGCATTTCTGATTTCAGTAATTACAAAGAATTCAAAACTATATTGGAATTGAAGCTAGTTATGAGAGAAAAAATCATACAGAAATATATCTGATGGAAATATTCAAACAGCATTAATAACGAGGGAGATGCATCTTTATTAAAACACCAAAGGAAAACTGATGTAGCTGCATTGTCAGAAAAACAATGTAATGTCACCTTTTATGTCTAAAATTAGTGCAACACCTTTGGGTTTTTTTATTTTCACAGTCTGTGCTGAACAAGAAGTTTGAGCTCCCCCTCGCGTACGGGCACGCGGCGTGGCCTGCACAAGAGCTGGGACCCTTCATTCACTTGTGTCTGATGGATCAGAATTTCCCAGCTTTTGTGGAAGATGTGGAGAAGGAACTGAAAAAACTCACAGAAGGTTGAGAAATAACACCAGCTTATTCCCACTGGAATACATGCTCCAGGATACGCCAGCTTAAGCGCAATTAAATATCTGAAAGTCTCACGCCTTTTTTTTTTTGTCAATGTTTTATTTTTAAAAACAGGTTTTTCCACTTTTTATACATCATTGCACTTCAACAAATACACAGAACACAAGTTCATGCATCTACAGTTATGCACATCATGAGAACCCTGTTAGGTCTATTTCTACAATCTTGAAATCATGAGAAATTACAGTGTCAAACTAAAGAGTATAACTAGTTGCATAGAATATCACCATGCTGTAACATTTCATCATTTAAACAAAACAAAAACAAAAATTATAAAAGTTTGCCTGAATTGAATGTACAAGAATATGTTGAACACATCAGTGCAAAAGGATTTGAGAATTTACATGAGTTAACAAAAAAAAAAAAAAAATCACTTAAAAAGCAATCATATATATATATTTATAAACTGAAGTTTTTTGTTTTCAACTGCATTCCACCACGTTGAACCGTTCCAGCTTTTTGAAGTCTGATTATAGGACAGCCAAGTCTCTCTCTCTCTCTCTCTATAGGTTAAGCCCTTAAGATAATTTCAATTTATATTACTTCTCTAAATACCAGAACACTATAATTCTCTCATCTTTCAGACATACAGTAAGGAATGACTATCAGCAGCTTAAAAATGAAACACAAGTACTGTATTTTGGTTCCCCCCTCCCCCAAAATATAAATATATACTGTATATATAATTTTTAAGTTTTGCTGTACTTTACAAAAAGTATCACTAGATGGCAGCGGTGCGTTTTAGAGCTTTGCCAATTTAACAGCTACAGGAAGTAAAAAATGGCGCATGCGTGAACCAGCGTACTACTTCTTCATGTTTAAATAGATTTAAGGAAAAAATAAAATAAAATAAAAAAGCAACATTCACAGCACATCAAGCCCAAAACAGTTTACACCTTCTACACTGAAGCATTATTAAAATTTATCTGGCTAGGTCATCCTTACAGGAGAGGCTAAATAAGGCATGCTTTAGACAGTCATATTGTTGCTCACTTGAAAAGGAAAAAAAAAAAGAAAAGAAAAAAAGAAAAAAGACAGAACTGGAGTTCTAGAACCAAGAGTTCCAACCCTTAAATTTAGCAGGTCATATTGCCATCAGTCTCTCAGAAACTTAAAGCTCTAAAAAAGAAACGAGAAAAGGTGCTAGTCAATGCCTGGCAGCGTTCCCAACATCACGTGCCGCAAGAGCATGCAATCAAAATGCTCCACATCCCTTTCGGTCTTAAGTCAAGATAAAGGTTTCCCAACCAGGGTTAACTTCCAGATTTTAAGATTGAATGAGGAAAGGTTTGTTTGGTTTTTTTTTTAAATTAGCAATAGTAGTGATTATGTTAAGTTCAACAGCTACTGGATTATTAAGCTATCTGCATATTTTATGAAAAAAAATCTTGTGATAACCCCCAGTGCTCTTTGGAGCATGGCAGGAAGGCTAACGCCGTCCTCTGAGCAGCTGGTGACTTTTCAATGCATGGAGCATGTTATATTTGCTTGCTCCACATACATATATTTTATATATTATATATAAAAAATACACACCCCAACCACTACAGAAAAAGGAGGACATTTGCCTGAACGTTTCCAAGATGTTTGTGAGTCATACTTACATGATAAGCATTTTTAATTTGTGTTTCTCTGGCGTAAGTTTTTATCTTTATGATTGTTTGTAGAATTGGTTTTCCTGGAGAAGGGAAGAAATAAAAAAATGCACCAAAATCAATTGCAATTGTAAGAATAAAATGTCTTTGTACATAGTAGAAGTTAAATAGCATTTCATTCCTTCCTCCTCTTAACTCACATGGCTAAAGCCTCCTAGACTTTGTATCTTGCCACCTTCTTCCCAATGCAATTCACCGCCGCTCTCATTCTGTTTTCTAGTTTTACTACTTCCTTTTTAGACCTGAAGTAGCTTCCC